GCGGGAGGCCTGCTTCTCCCTCTCCCACTCCCCCTGCTTGTGTTCCTACTCTCGCTATGTCTCTCTCTGTCAAATAAATAAATAAAAAATCTTTAAAAAAAAAAAAAAAAAATTCAAAAGAGTAGGCCCCACTTCAGTGCAACTGAATCAGAATCAATACTTAACAAGATCCCCAAATGATGTGAATCTTTTAAAGTCTGAGACGCACTGGCAAGAAATGATGGAGGTTAGAAAAAAGTATGTTCAAAGTTGGCAGAACTAAGGATCAGTTAGTAACAGGCACGGGGGGCGGGGAGGAGCAGCAAAGAGAAAAAAAATGAAAATAAACCTTGAAAGGAAAAATACATACTAGAAATTAAAACTGCAAAGTAATCCACCAAGCTTAGTCAGATGCTTGCAGTGTTTTTTAAAAACCTGGCAACAAGTAATGTCAAGATTTATTGCAAGCTTTCAAAACATTCCAACAGCCCACCTACAATAATAAAGTTATTGGTAGGCAATGAAGCTGAATCACCACTGCATTCAGCAGACTTTGGAAGGTTATGACAAGAGCATACCCACTCTCCAATGCTAGGCAGACACTCAGGGGGAGGGAAAAGAAGAACTTTAAAGCAAAGAATTTTCAAGATTCATTATGTCCCCTCATAACTTCCCAAGGGAGAAAGGAATTGGGAAAAAGTCACTCCAGAGGAAGTATGCAGCCATGTAAGAGTTACAGATAAAGGGAGGTAACTGTACATACACAAATACTCAGAGGAGAATTTTACCTTACCTTGGTTCTGGGGAAAAGAAACGTACTGGAGCAAACCAAAGTCCAACAAACCCCAGGTGTCCAAAATGAATGAGAAAGAAAACTTCCCACCTTCACACACCAAAAAAGCCTCCAATAAAGCTATAGCCCAGAACTAATCATACCAAATGTAATTCATAAACCTTGACTGGTTCCCAAGTTAAATAAATAAAGTAACTATAACTGAGATCTGAGGGACAACTGGGGCTGCTTGACTGTGGACTCCATTAGATGATATTATTGAATTAATGTTGTTTTTCTTAGGTGTGGTAATGGTGTTGTGGTTATGTAGAAATTTGTTCTTGTTCTGAGGAGATGCATGGTAAATTATTTAGGCATGAAGCCTCACAAGTCTACAGCTTACTTTCAGATGATTTGGCAAAAAAAGAAGGTATATATAAGTATGTATACATACACACACAAACACACACACATCAACCAAAAGTTATCTTTCCAAGAGTTATATCACGTGTGCACATGTGATCACAGGTAACAAATATTCACTGAGTGCCTTCAAAGCTAATCCAACTCCTTTCCTATCTTTAAAAGTTGGAGGTGCCATATGGGGCCATGAAATACAATGAAAACAGTGGGCCTATCCCTGTGGCCCAAACCTCTCTGAAGCCAGTTTCCCACTCAGTACAAATTTTTGGAGCACCTAGGGTTGCTAGATACTGTGCTCACTACTATTCTCATGGAATTTAAGGTCCATCAGGGGAAGAACAGACAAGTAATATGTAATTCTTATAAACATGATAAATGCAAAAAAACCCAAAACAAAACAAAAAAACATGATAAATGCCATATTACCAATACGGCTCTTAGGAAGCACACAGATCTGTTCAGATTCTTAGAAGGTTTTTCTGACCACCTCCTGTGTCTCAGGCTTTGGGAATACTACAATGAAGAATCCACAGTTTATACCTCAGAGAGTTAACTAATCATCTCACATTAACAAAAATGCTTGACATTTATATAAGTTTCTGAACTCAAATGGTAACAGCCTCCTTTGGGATCTTCCACTTGAAAAAGGAATCCAGTCTCTGTCACACCTGAACTCTATGACCTGTTAATAATGCTCAAGTACCAGAGTTCTATGAGATCAGTATCTTTCTTTCCAAGGTACTTAACCAGATAAACAGAAAATAAAGTCAGTGATGCTCCCTGCTGGCGTCTTAAAGTTAAATCAAAATAAGGAACACCAAAAGGACAGGACTGAGCAGGGACACAGGTTCATCCAAACTTAGGGAAGGCAGTCGGGAAGGGCCCTCAAACCTAAGAATAACCGCAGAACGCAAAAGAAAAGATGCTTGCATAATGGCTGAAGGTTAGACACATGTCCAAATAGGGAGCTGCAGAGATGGCAGGAGAAAAAAAAAATGCTCCCTGGATAAGGATTTCTGAGAAGACCCCTCAGATTCCCAGTCTACTGCCTCCCTTTTCTACCTGGCTATTACTGCATTACTCTCCTTACCAGAAGACCAGGCTGCTTACCTCTGTAGAAAAATCGGATTTATTTAGATGGGTCAATAGTTGCTGCACGAGAAACAAAAGTCATTCATTTCCTGTATCACCAGGAACACCTAAGATTCTGACTTAGAGTCAAAAAGCAACTTTATAAGGAGACAATGACAATGACGTCCACCTTATATAGAGGCCAGCACATTTGTAGAAAATAGAAAAGACAAATATTCTAATGGATAGTCATGGAGTCCTGCCCATTCAAACACAATGTCCCATCTTCCCCAGTGTGCTGACCTTAGCATATCTTTGTGTAAAGATGTATATATTCAAACACACACACACACAGACAGTCAACCCTTGAACAACACCGATTTGAACTGTGTGGGTCAACTTACATACGGACTTTCTTTTCAATAAATACAGTATACTACTATAAATATACTTTCTCTTATGGCTTTCTTAATATTTTCTTTTCTCTAGCTTACTTTATTATACGAATACAGTATTTAATACATATAACATATAAAATGTGTGTTAATCGATGTTTTATGTTATCAGTAAGGCTTCCAGTCAACAGTAATTATTAGCAGTTAAACGGATTTTCGATTGTGCAAGGGTTTGCATGCCTAATCCCTGCATCGTTCAAGGGTCAACTGTGTGTGTACATATATACACATTATGCATACAGGCTCAACTCAAACATACTTCCTATAGTCAGGACAAGAGCTACAGGGTAGTAATTTCCAGAACCACAGTAACTAGTAGGGCATTAAAAAAATCCTAGCCTTCATACTATTCCCAAAGATTTGTCATTTCTTGTCCATCAGATCCTCCATAGGAAACATGAATTACCTTAACAAATAAATGGTTAAGTTATATGATCACATGTCCCCATTTCATGGTACTATGTACAATTTAAAAGCATGGTGAAACAGAAAGAATGTACCATCAAATTCTTTATCACTTCTCAAATTATCTTCTCCCTCCCCAAAATCAAATCAAAAGTACTTTTTTTTCTAAGATTTTATTTATTTTTTAAGAAAACTCTACACCCAACATAGGACTCAAACTCACAACCTTGAGATCAAGAGTCACAGGCTCTACCAAGTGAGCCAGCCAGGCGCCCCTCAAACACACTCTTTAAGCTTTCCATCTTCCCCTTCCCTTTCTGAGCAATACAATCCAAACACATTAAGTGGAGCCAGGCACTTAGATATCTATTAGCAGACATCTACTCTGGGTGGGGCATCAAAATGGCCCAGAGCAGTTTCAGAGCCCATTTGGGATGAAGACGATGGTGACCACACAGGGAGTAGTGGCCAGTCACACAGCGGTGGCACAAACGGGTGAAAAGAGCATCCACACAGAAGGGAGGGGGAGACAAACCATGAGTGACTATGGACTCTGAGAAACAAACTGAGGGTTCTCGAGGGGAGGGGGGTGGGGGGATGGGTTAGCCTGGTGATGGGTATTAAAGAGGGCACGTATTGAATGGAGCACTGGGTGTTATACACAAACAATGAATCATGGAACACTACATCAAAAACTAATGATGTAATGTATGGGGATTAACATAATTAAATTAAATTAAAAAAAGAAGAAGAGGGGCGCCTGGGTGGCTCAGTTGGTTAAGCGACTGCCTTCGGCTCAGGTCATGATCCTGGAGTCCCGGGATCGAGTCCCGCATCGGGCTCCCTGCTCAGCGGGGAGTCTGCTTCTCCCTCTGACCCTCCCCCCTCTCATGTGCTCTCGCTCTCTCTCAAATAAATAAAATCTTTAAAAAAAAGAAGAAGAAGGACAGCCTGACATGGAGGTACAAAGTGGGTTTAGGAGGGCATCTCAGTGGACAGGCAGCCTGGCATAGGGTGTTAATACCTAAGCAGGGTTAAGACTGTAAACATGGGAGGGTAGCCAAGTGCAGGGTATCAGAGCCCAAGAGGGATAAGCAAGGAAATCCACATGGAAGTAGAGCCCAACACCGGATATTTGACACTGAGCAGGGTAAGGAAAGTGTCCACAAGGGAAGGTGGCCTGGCATAGAGTATAGGAGCCCAAGCAAGAACATCTCCACAAAGGCGTGGCCTAGCATGGGAAACCTGTGCTTGGTGAGGTGGGTGCCGATGTGGGAGGGCATCCAATGTAAGAAGGGAGCCCAACAAGAGGTGTCAGAACCCAAGCAGGATGTAGAGAGCATTTGTATGGAAGTATGGCCGGCAAAGAAGTTGGAACTGAGCAGAGTGAAGAGGACCTCCATGCACAGGGGTGACCTGGAGTGTGGAGTTAGAGCCCAAGTAAGATGAGGAGGGTGTTCTCAGAGGAAGTTAGCCTCACATACGGTGTCAAAGCCAGAGCAGGGTAGGAAGGTGCCTTCTTGATGAGGATGACGCTGGAGCCCCCAGGGGGCAGAGGGCAAGCACAGGGAGCCTGAGCTGGGTGAGGAACGCACCTACATAGAAGGGTAACCTGGCATGAGAATTTTGAGCTCAGGTATGGTGAGAAGGGTTTTTGCACAGTGAGGCAGCCTGGTGTTGGTGTCAGAATAAAGCAGGATGAGGAGCGCAGTCACAAGAGGGAAGGAATGGCAGCTGTGAGATCAGATGCAAACAGGAGGACCAATTAAGTAACTATATATTTATTTATGATAATGGGAGCCTAGCTTCTGACTATGAAAGAAGGAAACCACAAACATGGAAAGGAAAAACAATGAGAATAAACCCTGTAGTGCTGGATTGAAATTGGAGGTAAATACATGTATATACATATGCAAGCACATGCACCCATGCGCGCACACACACACACACACACACACGCACACACACACACTCACCCAATCCTTGGCCCTATCTACCAATAGGGTCTAGGGGTAGTGACATTCCCAAAAGCAATGAGTACACCTAGCACCCAAATCTCAATTTCTAAATACCATTCTTCACTAAAAGGAACCAGAGCTCCTCACTGAAATGATTAATTTTAGGCTAGGTCAGGAAAAGTACAAGAATGCCTAGTAATCAAAGAATGATGAAGACCTATCAAAAGATAGGATCTGGCTTGAAAGGTAACCTACTGGCCAAATTTGGGACAATTTGAGCAATAAAATAAACAATATCAAAATATAACATACTGAATAAAATAGGAAACCCCCAATCTATACTAACTAATAAATGAATAAATTAAAACTCTGATAAGGAGAGGGTATTTGCACAGTCTCAAAGTACCTCCCCATAAAATAGTTATTACAAAGAGGGAAAAAAGTAACTTCATGAATAAATTCAGCAGGTACCTCTTGAAGTGATCTGGTTAACATCATTAGTAATGGGATACAGCTAATGGAAATATCATGTACTTTATAAGCTGCAAAGAAAAGAATACAGTATCACTTCTGTGATATTCCTGCCAACATTGCATAAACTGAATCCAGCTAAAGAAACATCAAACAAAATCAAACTGAGAGATATGCTAAAAATAACTGGCCTATGATCTTCAGAAATGGTAAGTTACCAAAGTTAAGGAAATGCTGAGGAAGTGTTCCAAGCTGAAGACTAAAGGGACATGACAACTAAATCTAACAGTTGATTCTGGGCTGGATCCTTTTGCTATACGGGACATTGAGACAACAGGCATATTGAATGGGGTCTGAGAACTACATGGTAACAATGTCATCAGTGTTTGTTTCCTGATTTTTATGGTTATATTGTGCTTCAGAAGGAGAGTGTCATTTATAGGAAAAATACACTGAAGTATTACAGGGCAAAGGGGCATCATATGGACAACTTAATATCATACAGTCCAAGAAAGTCTTCATAGTATACTTGTAACCTTTCTGCAAATCTGAGATTGTTTTAAAATGTAAAAATTCTTTAAAAATTACTCTTCAAAAGACAGGAGCAATGGATGAACCTTGAAGACATTATGCTAAATAAAATAAGCCAGACACAAAAGAACAAATACTATGTGATTCCACCTATAAGAGGCACTTAGAACAGGCAAATTCAAATATAGAAAGTAGAATAGAAATAGACTGGGGGTAGGAGGAATGGGGAGTTATTGCTTAATGGGTTTGGAGTTTCTATTTGGAATGATGAAAAAGTTCTGGAAATGATAGTGGTGATGGTTCCACAACACTGAATGTGTTTAAAGCCATTGAAGAGTACACCTAAAAATGGTTAAAATGGTTAATTTTATGTCATGTATATTTTACCAGATTAAAAAAGTGGGGAAAAAAAGGTTTTTAAATACTCAGTAAGTGTTTTTATAAGATGTAACAATATTCATGTCAAAATTATAGTTGTAAACAATTAGAAACTAGTTTAAATATCCTACAATAAAGGAATTATAAAAACTTTAAGAAATGTATACACTGCTTCCAGTGGCAGGGTTGGGGGAAGGGGCAGCAGGTACCACGTCCAGCCGCAAAGCCCCTGAAGCAGCCCAAGAAGCAGGCCAAGCAGATGGACAAGGAAGATAAGGCATTCAAGCAGAAACAGAAAGAAAAGCAGAAGAAACTCGAGGAGCTAAAAGTGAAGGCCATGGGGAAGGGCCCCTGGCCACAGGTGGAATTAAGAAATCTGGCAAAAAGTAAGCTGTTCCTTGTGCCGGAGGCAATGATGATCCTTAATTCCATTCTTGTTTAAACATCTGGATTCCCTGTCATAGCATCTATTGTTACCTATAGCTGAAATGAAGTGTTGTCTTAGATCCTGTTGTATAATTAAGAATAAATTTTTATAAAAAAATAATCAATCATAAAAAAAGAAATGTATACAAATATTTTATATAACAATACAGCATTTAAAATAGAATGAAGTGCATCATCCTCGGTTTTTTGGGGCTTTTTTCCAAGATTTTATTTATTTATTTCACAGAGAAAGAGAGAAGGTGTGCACAAGCAGGGGGGAGCTGCAAGCAGAGGGAGAGGGAGAAGTAGGCCTCCCGCTGAGCAAGGAGCCCGATGTGGGGCTCAATCCCAGGACCCTGGGATCATGACCGGAGCCGAAGGCAGATGCTTAACCAACTGAGCCACCCAGGTGCCCCATCTTCCTTGTTTTAAAATAAAACTTTTTCGGGGCGCCACGGCAACATCAGACAGCTCACCTCAAATGGGTTCAAATTGAAGTAGGAAGAACCAGGACGGGTCAATCTTTCAATCTGATTTTTGGATGTTAGAACTGAATCTCTCTTCTCTATTTGTTTCACCTAAAATGAAGGGAGATAAAAACTTCATTAGTAAAGTTCAATAATAAACTCTGAACTGTCACCTTAACAAGCTACTGACACGTTCAGCAAACATTTGTCTACATGTGGAAGACAGTTGCCAAATGCTTTGGGAATAACTACAATAGTTATTATTTACTGAATTCTAATAATGTAAAAACTTTACATATATTTGTTCCTCCCAACCATCCTATACAATAGACATTACTATTATCCCCATTTCACAGATAAGAAAACTGGGACTTAGAGACGTTAACTGACTTGTTCCCAACTACCCAACTTGTAAACAAGAATTTTAACTATAACAGTTTGAGGAATCAAAAACATTCAAACAGGGGCGCCTGGGTGGCTTAGTCAGTTAAGCGGCTGCCTTCGGCTCAGGTCATGATCCCAGGGTCCTGGGATCAAGTCCCGCAACGGGCTCCCTGCTTGGCGGGGAGTCTGCTTCTCCCTCTCCCTCTGCCTGCCACTCTGCCTACTTGTGCTCTCTTTCTGTCAAATAAATAAATAAAATCTTTAAAAAGAACATTCAAACA